GAGAGAGAGAGAGAGAGAGAGAGAGAAAGAAAGAAAGAAAGAAAGAAAGAAAGAAAGAAAGAAAGAAAGCTCAGTGTATTTCAGTTTGTCCCGAAAAGTAAGAACAAATGTGAATGGTCAGGACGAAAGCAACCGAATAGTAATTTTCTATCTAGGGGGCGTCAAGTTTTTTGTGGGTATTTTTGTCGTGTTTTTTTAATTACTTTTTTTCATACTGACACTGTTTAACGACAGACAATCAAATGGTGGTGAACTGCGCGCAGCTGGCATAATTTACAACAATCTATCAAAACTGACTTCTAATAAAACTGATGAATCTTTTTAAATAATAGAAATATTGTAAAAATCATTCCAGCAAAAATGATAACTACAACACTGTTCGCACAAAAAGACAACAACAACAACAACAACAACAACAACAACAACAACAGCAGCAGCAGTAGCAACAACAACAACAACAACAACAACAAACATCAAGCAATGATGATGATAATCATAATTGATCGATTGATTGATTCATTGTTTAGGTTCTGAGCCCCTTTTTAACACTGTGAGTCATCCATCTAAGATAAGATCGGGGGAAAAGTCAAGGAGAACCTGAAAAACTCCCCAAAACAACCTAATTCCATGAGGCCTGGTTGGGGATTTGAATCAGGCCTGCCCGCACCGTAGTCCAGCAAGACACCAACTGAGATAACGATCTGCCCATTAATTATAACCCTAATAGTAATAAGGATAACGAAGACAAATACGACAAAGACAGTAACAGTAGTTGTAGGAAATGTTAGAGCATGCAACGGAATTTCAAACGGTTTTATATAATCTGTATATTATGTTAAATAATGTAGACCTAAAACATGTAAAATCTACACGATGGACAACTTTGACTGGTGACATTTTCTGTCTTTTGGGTTGATTTTGTTGTTGTTGTTGTTGTTGTTGTTGTTGTTGTTGTTGTTTTGTAATTTTCGTTTTAATTTTGTTTTCTTCGTTTTTCTTTTGTTGTTTCTCATGAATTGAGGTTGGAAGGAGGGAAGGGGAGGATTTTGTGTGTGTGTGTGTGTGTGTGTGTGTGTGTGTGTGTGTGTGTGTGTGTGTGTTTGTTTTTATGAGTAATTTTGTTGTTGTTGTTTTTAATTACGTGAGCACTTATTTAGTTTTCCATTATTGTCATTGTTTCGGTTGTTGTTGTTGTTGTTGTTGTTATTACTATTCTTCCTCGTGTTGTTGCTGTTCTTGTTTCTGTTATTGCTCTTGTCGTTGTTGTTTGTCGCTGTTTTTTTTTTGTTGTTGGGTTGTTATTGTATGTGCTGTTGTTATGTTTGTTGTTATTGTTGGCAATTATTTTATTTTTTGGGGTGGAGTTTTTTTGTTTTTTTTTGGTTTTTTGGGGTTTTTTTTGCTCTTTAATTTTCTGTCTGTTTTTCTTTTTTCTGGGTTACGTTTTGTGTTTGTTCT